TGGATTGCGCACAAGCTGAGTGTTATAATACAATAATAGCATCCGTGTCGGACTATAGTCAACCTATATCATGAAACTAAATGATATATTATTTTAGAAAGCATTAGGATGTGATTTGCTGAGAATTCCAAACAAAAAGGCTTCTTTCTCGGTCACAGCGTATGGATGCCACTGGCCAACAACACTAGGAGCTTGTCACTTACCAAAAGCACAGGTTTTTTAAATCTTGAACTGACAGAAGAAAATAAAGACGTTCAAGGCTTACCCCAAGATCCTTGAATTTAACGGACTTTTGAGTAGAGGAATTCTCCTTATTTGCACCAATGTTGGCAAAGTAAGCGATGACCTTCTTGGTGTTTTCAGTCTTTCCGGCACCAGATTCTCCAGTAATCAACATTGACTGATTTTCGTGATCTAGATAGGGGAAAAATGGCAAAACCTACACAGAAATAAACAGTTTGGTCAAAGAATGTTATAAAAAAGCTCAGTAAAAGCCAAAATATACTATCAGTAAAAGCTAAAATAAACTAAGATGGCGAGCTAAGATGGATGCCGCACCTGTCATCATATTCCTGTACGCCTCATCCGAAACGGCGAATAGATGCGGTGGCATTTCTGTTCGACGTTTATTCACATACATTGCTTGAACAGAATCCGTATAGATTGGTAGCATCTTGTATGGATTGATAAAGACACAAAAGAGTCCCGAGTAGGTCTTTAAACAAGGGATTTGTACAAAAGATAAGCTCAGTCTAAACCATCACTCACGTATATCATCATCGAGTAGTATCGTTGTCGCAAGTTGTGCAGTACAGATGCCTCGTTTAGAAAAGTTAAGCTTGACATGTCCTCCGCTTTCTCAAACTTTGCTGGGTTGATTTCTTGACATTCATCCTTAGTCAGCTTCTTCTTTAAAAAAAAACAGACGTTTGAATCTTTGCTTGTGTCTGTCTCCCCAAGTCCAATACTGTAGTCTTGCAATTACTACCAACAACCCATACCCACCATCGTTCCATCGGGCATTGTAAGAGTATAGTTGTTTCCTTCCTGCACGCTGATGGCAGCCACAACAAAACCCTCGACAGGATCTGGTACCCATGTGTGAGTTTTGTTATCGAAACGACGAGCAGCTTGTTCCTGAACGGTTACTTTCAGTAGCAAACACAGCTGGAAAATCAAGAAAGGCAAGAAAAAAAA